CTAGCTGTGGCTCGTATTATTCGTTTTCTCCTACGATTTATACTGCTTTGTGCTTGGGAGAGAAGAAAGTCATTATAAATTCCTGGTGTTTCAAAAGTATTATATGATAATAAATAGTTACAGTTACTGCTCAATCCAACACTTTATGGATTACATGAATGAAAAAACGAATGCGGCAATAAGGGTATCTTCTGATAAACTGGAACTTTCGTTTGAGTTTCTTTCATTCGGTTCTTCACCGAGCATTCTATTCGGTTGATATGAAGTATTTTACAGTTGTAATCCTTCTAAAATTTCTTGGTAGGTTCACATGTTGTTTATTTTGTTGTTTCTACTCTATAATGCATCATGACTTGCAAAAATAGTTTAGAATAACATTTATTTTTTAGCTTATTTGGCTTTCAAACTTTAAACTTTTCTTTCTGTTGAGCTAATTTTTAGGGGGACTGGCAAGTAAGTGTCCGACTGGATGGGAACTGTATCAGCATCTTTGCATTCTTCATGTTCGTATTTTCTGTTTTATTAGTTGCCAGCCACTAATCTAAGAAGTACCGGCGTATAAAGTATTTGAGAATTTCTTATTTCTTCGCACAACAGTTCTGGTTTATCTTCTGAAATTACCATTTACAGGACGATACGTGTGTAGATTATAGCACTGCAGCTGGTTTTTGTAAGAACCATGGTGGAAAACTTCCATCAATGCTCAGTCAAGAGGAAAGTAATAAAAATCTATCAAAAATTTCTTTCTGTAAACTTTCTGTTTAATTAAAAGTTTGTTAAGCAGTCTCTAGGCAACCATCTCAGCTCTAGCATAGACTGTTTGAGTTTTCTTCTTTTTTCTGGGGTATTAAGCGACGTGCACGCGACGTATAGTGACTTTTTGAAGCAAATTTAAAACTCTAAGTATAGCGCATTATTACAAAATCAACTCTTTTTGTAGTTTCACTGGTGTGGTTTTAAAAACTTTGGATTCACCTATAAGTAAATCAATTAGCAAGCGTCTGGAAAACAAATATAATAGCGGATACTTCTTTTCTAAAAAGTTGCTTTAACAGCTAAATGAAGAAGAGGGAAGTAGCGGCATTGCCAAATGCAGGTTTTTCGTATAAGAAAACGTTTAGCGTTTTAAATCCTTACCTACGTCCTTATACTTCGTTTGCTCATTGCTGCCGTTGAAAAAAGAAACGCTATAGTAAAGAAAAATATAAATAATGATAGCAATAACGAAAAACTTCTGAACAAAGATGAAACAAAAAATAATTTTTGATATCAACTTTTTTTTTCCTGTTTAGCACACCAAGTTTTATCTTGTTTTAAGTATATCAAAAAAGTAACAGTTTTTTCCTTTTGTTGTTAAAATAGCACCTCTATTTTATGACTTTGCTCGTGTATACTTGTTTCAAGTTTCAGTGACAAGCCTGAAGAAGGTAATGATCACGTAAATAATAACTGCAGTATAAAATTTTTAAAATTCTATGATGTCTTCATTCTACACTTGTTTTGAAACCTTTTTTTCTGAAACTGACTTATTTTCTAGGCAATTTTTTAGAATACTTTTTGGGATCGTTGACCTACAATCTTTTATTTTACGATCTTACGATACCCTCATTTTTGGTGACTCAATTCCAAATTAAGATTCAGTTAATATCACATCACAGTACTGTTAATGAGCAATTTCTTCACTTGGTTTCTCTTTCAAAAATGTAGTTTTAGGTTTTACAAAGGTAGCACTAAACAACTTTTCATTTTTTTTTAGAAACACATTGTGGTATCTGAAATATTTTTTCCAAGTAATGTTAACATCCTTTTTTTCATTTTGCTTGTTGCGTTGAAATTATTATGTTCTCAGTTCCTTTATGCAAAGTTTTTCAAAATTTTATTTGTATTTTAGAAATTGGAAGAATTAAATTTAGAGCTTGTTACAGAAAATTGCTTTAGTTGACACCTCGCGTGGTTTTTCAAACTCCTATTTTTGGAGTGGTTATAGAAAAATAGATAGAACCTGGAAGTGGTTGAATGGACGTAAATCTAACTTTACATTTTGGGTAGCAGGACTACCTGTGAAAGATGGGAAACATGCTTTATCTGATGAAAATGGTGAATGGAAGTTAGTTGGAAACGAAATGTGTGCAGAATCTTTATGTTTTCTCAAAGGTTTACTATTAATTATTCATACTACCTCCTTCTTATAATTGAAAGCAATTAGTAATAAAATTAATAGTAAATGAATGCAGCATGTTTATATTAGAGCATTAGAAAGAATAAATAAACTATAAATTGATTATGTGCAGTTGTCAAAACAAAGAATTATTATAATTTTTGTTTACCGCTCGTGTTTTTTAAATTATTGTCGGATAAGAAATCCTGCACAAAACAGCATGTGACTTTCAATATCTTTTAGAAATTATAAGAGAAAAAAAAGTTTATCTAAATTACATTTTCTGTTTGCTATTTATAATCGTCTATAATTTTTAGCAGACTCATTCTACAGTAGTCGGCAGCAAGTATCTCTTACAGCTGAAGCTTTGACACCAGTTAGGGAAAAAGTTTTTGCAAAGGTAACTTCAGTTTGTTCTTCTTCATGCACTGTCGAATTCCCAACCTTACTGACCATTTTACAGAATACTGCTTCTGACAATGAAAATAAATCTCCGGTAAGATTTTTAGTGATCTCAATTTTTACTATTGGTTACATCGCACTAAGATTCTACTAATAGCTACTAATTATGCTGTTGAGATCAACTTTACATGTTGGATAGCAAGACTATCTAGGAAAGATAGGAAACATGCTTTATCTGACAAAACCTAATTCTCACTCGAGTTCTTATACATATCGTCAGCCCCATAGAAAAGTGAATAATATGTTGCTTTCAACAGCTTTTGTTGATTACGTACAATTCTGATGTCTTTAGTGCTTTTTACTGTTTTCTGCTTTATCGCTCTCATTTTTTTTTCGGATTGCGGTGCAAGCTTTTTGTACAGGGAAGTAGAACAGATTAGCCCAGCAAATTGGTGATTTTTAGGAGGATTATGTCAGAGCGAAAACATCAAGAAGAATAATAAGGCCTTTCATAGTCATAGCTGAGAACAACTGGATCTTGATATATATGGTTGAACTATGCTGTATGACAGTCATATTTGTTGGAGTAATGGTTGCGGTATTTGGAAAGACTTCTAGAGAACCGCATTTTACGCCATTGCATTCCACTAAATGAAAAAAAAAAAAAAA